TCAAACCCAACTATTAACTTTATAATTGTTATCCTGGTTTCCATCTCTGACATCTAACTTATATCCTTATCAATTATATCTGTGCAGAGAATATTACCTCTGGTTCTTCCTTTTGTTGTGAATTCCTCCTTCTAGTCATTTTGCCCAGAGAAGAATGGGTGAGCCAGTGAGCAGAATCAAAATTATCAACCACAACCCAAGCAAAATACACACTAGACAAATCCAAAGAGATCAGAAACCAAAACAGAAAAGCAAGCAAAAACAAAACAAAAAAAGAAAAAGGAAAAAAAAAAAAGGCAGGGGAGAGAGAATATAATCTCATAGGGTGGACAAACCAGGGTGATCCACTTGTTCCTGAGTGACTTTTGATCTCTGTGTTAGAAGACACTAAATCCCTTGGGCGCCTGGATGGCTCAGTTGGTTAAGCGACTGCCTTCGGCTCAGGTCATGATCCTGGAGTCCCAGGATCGAGTCCTGCATCGGGCTCCCTGCTCGGCAGGGAGTCTGCTTCTCCCTCTGACCCTCCCCCCTCTCATGCTCTCTCTATCTCATTCTCTCTCAAATGAATAAATAAAATCTTTAAAAAAAAAAGAAAAAAAAAAGAAGACACTAAATCCCAAAATTGCAAAGAAAGCAAACTTTATATATATACAAAACTAAAATTGAATAGAGTGAAAAGGTCAAAAAATGAAGAATATATCTATGAAATGTAGATGTAAAAATAAAAGTTAAAAAGTGACTTAAAAACAAAGTGTTGATAAAATAAGAAACTAGTTGAAAGGGGGGAAGAAAGAAAAAAGAAATGGAAAATTTTAGACTGAAAGATAAATGAATCATGTGAAAAATCCTCAAGTTCTATATACTATTTTCCCCCAGCGCCGGAGTTTTACAGTGTTGTGGGATCTGTAAACTTGTGCACCTGTTCTGGGGGAGGGGCCTGCTGTGCTGCTTCTCAGGTGTCTTTGTCTGGGCAGAGTTGCACCATCCCTTGCCAGGGGGTTGAGCTCAGTGTATGCTGGTCCTCTGTGTGGCTTTTGTTCCTTGTAGGTTTTCTGTGCCTCTTTAGAGGATCAAAATAAAAATGACCATGCCCTGATATCCAGCCCCAGACCCAAAAGATTGCAGTCCCCCTCTTCAGTAAACACTCTGGGACAGTCTTCACTTAAGTTTATGCCAAACTCTGCACACTCCTGAAGTGCGTGCCCACAACAATCTTCCCAGGGGGAGTCTGAGGGTCTCACATTACTGCCCTTTGTAGGGCCCTGGTGCTGAGAGCTTTCTTGGGATGGTGCACATACCTGCTCTGCCACTCCCAGGGGATGGTGGAGGGTCCCTGTGTTCCAGTCTGCTGCTTGGTGCCCAGGCAGAGAGTGGTCACCCAATTGGGCCCGGCTCACAGTTTATGGTGACTGAGCTGAGAGCCCTTATACCCACCTCCCTGGTTCACTGACAGTAACCAGTTCCCCCACCCCACTTCTTGGACACTTTACTGACTCAGGCACACCTGTTAGTTCTGTGACCCCTGGGATGCTGACACCACACTGACCCACCTAGAATTCTGCCCCTTTCATCCCCTAAGCCCCTTTCAGACAGGGATGTCTCTCACTGGAGCAGATTTCTAAGAGTTCTGATTTTGCCCTCTGGGGCTCTATTGCTTTCTGGTAGCTAGCTTATGGAGGCTCCCTCCCCTCTCTATTTATTTTCTGATATCTCCCCTCAGTTTCACTTCTCCAGCCCTCTTACCTTGCAAAAAGCAGTCACTATTCTACTTGTAGAGTTCCAGATATTTTTTCTTACATCTCAGGCTGAATTCATGGGTGTTCAGAAAGGTTTGATAGTTATCTAGCTAAATTCAAAGGACCAGATGAAATGAGGTCCTCTACTCTTCCACCATGTTGCATCCTCTCCAGCTCTCTCATTTTCAAAGAAGTCACCCAATATGCTACAAAATCAGTATGAACAGATCTGTCTCCTGTTTTCCCCCAGCATTTTGTAAACTGCATTTTCATGTTGCCTTTCCACAAAGGCTACTGTCCCTTTATGGGCAGCAGCCCAACTATCACTCACCCTTCTTTTTCATCTAGTGCTGAGGCACTGACTTTTTAAAGCTCCAGGCTCCAAGTCCCACTGGTTTTACAAACTCACAGAATTCAGTCTCTGGTTTTTACTGCTAAATGTTATAAGGATTAGTCTTCCCCCTATCAGCTCTCTGGTGCAAGGGCCTATTTCTCTAACCTTTCTGCGTGTAGCTCACTTCCTTTTGTGGGTAGTCTCCCTCCATCTTTCTGACCTTCTTAACCTGTAAGATGCAGCATCTTTTATATATTTAGTTGTGGAAGGTTTTTATTTGTTTGTTTCCTGCCAATCTCTGGATTGTTCTCCAATTTATTGACATGGAAATGGATGATATCTAGTTGTAAATATGGGATGGGGTGAGCTCAAGGTCCTCTTATTCTGTCATCTTTCCACACTGCTCTCTCCTCATTAACTCTTACTTAAACTAGTTCAGTACTTTAAAAAATACATCCAGATCCCATCACAAAACTTGGATTTTGTTTCATATCTTCCTCTAAATACCTGACCTATGACAGTTTGCTGTGAGACCATTTCTTCATTTTCAAAAAGAAGAGATTGAGCTAGATAGCTCTTAAATATCTTTGTAGTGCTTCATATTTTGATTCTTTACTACCTTAATATTGCTTTCTGAATTTGCTCACTGATATTTTTCTTCAATGATATTGTACAGATAGCATCTGGTTGAAAAAATGCATAGATATTGGAACTTTCTATTTTTTCTATGAATTAAAAATATGAGGGGACTCTTGCTCACTAATTGCCTTAGTGTCATTGTATGAGACACTTTTTTTCTGGAATTCCCTGTCTATAAGAAATTTTGTTGACTCTTATTTTTCACAGAGTACAAATCCATATATTATTACAAAATCCACTACCACACTTCCAATAATTAAACAACTACTAGTTCAGTAATTATCATAGTCAGGATCCAGTTCTGAATTGCTGGTCAGAGTAGCTGATGTAAATTCTTGAAACTTCTCCTGAAACATTTTTTGTTATGAGGCACTCAGACCTGGCAGTCCTAATCAGGGTCCTTTGATTGGTTTAAATCACTGCCATCATATTTTCTGCCCAGAGTTACTGTTTGTTGTTGGACAGGCCATTGGGGGACTGGAATTCTGTAAAACTAAGTGTAGCAAGAAAATTTCTGGGATCATCTATATTATATAATGTAAAAATGTATATCATCAATTCTGAGACTAAAGCAATTTCTTTCAGATTTTTTTTTTTGCCATGATTAATAGACAAGCTAATGTGGTGAAAATTTACTTCATTTGGAGTTTTCCATGCTTTGTAAAGTGTATAGAGTGGCAAAATAGAACCTTAGTGATTCTCTCAAACATACACAATTACATGTTCTAGGCTGCATTTCCCCTTATACCTTTAATAAGGAATTCACCCTACCCCTTAGAATCAGATTCTTCTAATAATGGCACTTAAATTTTCTGTTTGCCACAACCAATATGTGTCTTCTTTTCCTTGATTTGCATTTGCATGGGAGAATGGATTTCACTGAATTCTAAAACACTGTGTTTTAAATCTGCCAGTTTTTTCCCCCTTTTTTGCCCATGGCATCAGTGCACCAATATATGGCTATGAATTTAGACAGTATATACAAATAATCAAGGTGAATTCATTAGACATTTTGGAAGGAACTGTTGGAATATGGCTTGCCGTTCTATTTTTAGTACCCATTTCCTTATATATCTTTATAGTACTGCCTGATATAGACTTCCTAAGAGAAATAATTTCAAACTTAAGCACTCACATTTTCTGTTTGAGTTTTTTATTTCTACCTCTTTGTACCATTATACAGACTTTTAAAAAAGTAATTGCCTTATATATTATTTAAATATTTTATTTAAACTAAATTTAGTTAACATATAGTGTATTGTTGGTTTCAGGGTTAGAATTTAGTGATTCATCAGTTGCATATAACATCCAATGCTCATTACATCAAATGCCCTCCTTAATGCCTCTCACCCAATACCTCATCCCCCCACCCACCTCCCCTCCAACAAATCTCAGTTTGTTTCCTATAGTTAAGAGTCTCTTATGGTTTGCCTCCTCTTTTTATCTTAATTTATTTTTCCTTCCCTTCCCCTATGTTCATCAGTTTTATTTCTTAAATTCCACATATGAGTGAAATTATATGGTATTTGTCTTTCTCTGATTTATTTCACTTAGCATAATACCCTCTAGTTCTATCCACATTGTTATATGTAACTTAGCATAGTACCCTCTAGTTCTATCCACATTGTTGTAAATGACAAGATCTCATTCTTTTTGATGGCTGAGTAATATTCTATTGTATATATATACCATACCTTCTTTATTCATTCATCTGTTGATGGACATCTGGACTTTTTCCATATTTTGGTTATTGTGGACATTGCTGCTATAAACACTGGGGTGCATTATATTATATTAATACAAAAAATGTTATTATACTATGGGAGCTGGCATATTTTCAGGGGTTACATGCCATGTTTTCATTTATTTGGTCCCTCAATGTATAAGCATGAGAAAGGTAAAATAGAGAAAGACAATCTGAAATCATTTTTTCCCTCCTCTCTTCCCCTTCCTTCCAAGGAAATTCTGACAGGGAAGACAGCTCATCCTTTAGCAAAGTCCCAACAATACATTCACTAGAAAGTAATTCCTTCAAGTATTTCACAGTGCTTCCTCTGAAAATGTTATTTTAGATAGAATTTGACAATCATTTAATGAGTTTTTTTAGATTTTTAAGATGAAGTAAAAAACAGGAGTTGAAAATTACTTTGTTAAAGAATATTATACATAAATTAGACATAGGTTTTCTTTTGGCTTGTTCTATGCAGCATAGATCTGTTAAAGAAATGTATCCAGCTTTCAATTACATTAAGAAATCGTCCCCATTTTAAAAGGGATGGTTCTGGTTTTAGGTATAACAGCTGCAGCAATGGCTGAGGCAATGAAACTGCAGAAGATGAAGCTTATGGCAATGAACACTCTTCAGGGAAAAGGAAGCCAAAATGGGACTGAATCAGAGCCTGATGATCTTAATTCTAATACTGGTGAGTGTCTTCAGGACTATAAGGCAGTGACTCTTACTAATGTACTCTGAGTCTGGAGAGAGGAGGGATGAGGGGGAGGGGAGAGAATAATTTGTATACTTTGATTTTGAGCAGGAATTGCAGAAGGATGCTTAACCTCACTTCTAACTAGTACGGTGAAACTATAAAGCCATTACAAGTCAGAATTACATTTCAGGAAACAATCAGTTTATCTTCATTACTTTTTGTAGTGGAATTAATTACTAATTTTTATAGTGTTAGCTATTTTACCTTCTGTCTGTGAAAGGTTGTCCCCTTCAGTTTCACCCCTTCTTACTTCACCTTTCTCTCAACAACCTACCACTGAGAGGCAGTTCTGAAAATCCACGTTGGCTCATCTGCAGTCACTTTAGGTGGACTACCATCTCCTTAGCTAAGTAAGATGCTGGCATACTCAGGTCATTGGCAGGGGCTAACAAAAAGAGGTAGAACAAGGAGAAAGCAAAGGAAAAAAAGATAGAATAAAGGAAGAGAAGAGAAAGATGCCTGTGGAGTGGAATATCCCCTACCTTCTTGCTACTTGTTTTTTCTCCTTTACCTCTGATAATTTTACTTTAGTTTTGCTCATAAGACCACTCCTCAGATCTCTTTTGGAAGTAACTTGGGTTATAAATATCAACATACATTAATGGATGTATAAATAAATAAATAAATAAATAAATAAATAAATAAATAAATATGGTTTAATTTTATTGGGAAATAAGAAAGGGCAACCAAAGATAGTCTTAGGAACCATAAGTTTCTGATCTAATTCTGCAGCTGAATTTAATATAATGTGATAGGCAGATTGGTAACAGTCTTATCTCTCTTCTTTTAGGCTCCTAGAAGTTCAAGCATGGTGGGACCTTATTTTAGAGGAAAAAAAGTGGGGGTAATTAAAGAGGGAAATAACTGACTGAGATGAGTATTATAAAATACTCTGACTTTAATACAGTATAGCTCTCCTCATCTAAAATTGAAATGTTCACAGCGAATTATAGAGTAAGATTTGGGCTTCAACCAGTGCTCACAGCAGCAAATCAATGGAAAAATGTATTCATTTATTGAATTTGTAGCAACTGTAAGCAACACATAGATAATACTAAAATTAATACTAAACAAAGAATAACAACAGTAAGCAATTACCAGTTATTATGTACTAAGTTTCCATGTTTGTTTTTTAGTTTCAAACATTTTTTTTATTTAGATATAATTGACATATAACACTGTGTAAGTTTAAAGTGTATAATGTGTTGATTTGTTACACTTATCTATTGTAATATGATACCACCACAGTGTTATCTAACACCACCATCACATCACATTATTTTTTGTGGTGAGAACCTGTAAGATCTAGTCTCTTAGCAACTTTCAAGTGTATAATACAATATTGTTAACTATAATCTCAATGTTGTGCAGCATTTATTCATCTATCTCCTTTGTTAACCCATTTAATTCTTACCAAATTTCCAGAAAAAAAAAAAAAGGTATTTTCAATGCTTCATCTTGCAGATAAGGAAACAGAGGCATAGTGTGGTTCAGCTTTGCTCATAGTCCCAAAGCTAGTAAGTGGCAGAGGTATGTTTCAATCCCATGTCTGGTTAAGTCCAAAGTCTGTTTTATTCACATTCTTTCTCCTCTTTAATGCTCTTGTGTAGCAGAAATTTTATTTAATCAAACCCTTCAAATAAAAGTTGTTTTTATGATGAGGATACACTGATAAACTGATTATCAGTTTCCTAGTCCTAACACCTCTTACCTCATACTGGCTTTCAAATCTTAGAGTGTCTTAGAAGTGACCATCATTTGACAGGAAGCCTCTTGTATATCAAAATATTTTGTAACAGTAACAATTAATGGGAGTTCAAGCAGCAATTTCTGTCATGTTTTTCTTAGATATACCAGTTTATGAAAAAACTGTACAAAATTTCTAAGTTGTTACTTTATAACAAGATAATAAAGACATTTTGAGAGATGCACTGATGATGTAATTTTTAACTTAGTAAGTAGTTAATTTTCCTGGTTAAATATAATCTGTGCTAACTCCATTTATCCATCATTGTGATAAAATAAAGTATTAGGTTTCCATTTGTATATAATGTTATACTTGGTGCTATAGAAATGAAAGTAGAGTAGTCACTGTGTTTGACCTTGCAGATTGCAATCTATCCTTATCTTGATGTAATGAAGGTAAGCAGATATAAAAAATAATTATAAAGATGATGATAATAATACATATTTATATGAAGTCCCTGAGATTTTCAAAGTCTATAAATGAGCACTGCTGCCATGGGTGTATATGCACACTAGATTGTGTTATTGGGAGCGATCCCCTCGGCCATAACTTCCTCTCATGGGGTATTGGAGAACAGGTAGACTTCAGCAGTCTTTTCCACTGAGGACTCTAGCAGCTCTCACTGCCACCACAGACAACCACAGATTTGTCTGTCAAAGAACCTCACAGTCTTTGCCAATGGTGATCTCAGCTGATGGAATTGTACAAAGTCAACACTCCTGTGCCTTCCCCATTCCTAGATCTGGAGCTGCCATTGCACTCTCCTAGAACCAGAGCTGCCACACCCTTCACAGCCAATATCTTTGAACCCACCTGCATGTGAAGATATTTCCCTACTGAAGTGAGTCCATAAAGTCTGAAAGAGGTACCTACTGCCTCAAATGTGCAGACAGCAATGCAAAGTCATATAGAACATGAACAATCAATAAAACACCACCCAAAAGGAACAATTTTTTTTTACTAAACTGACCCCAAAGAAATGGAGAAGTCAAATAATAATTATACAATTATATAATAATTGTTTTAAGAAAGCTGAATGAATTATAAGAGAACACAATAACTCAAGGAAATCAGGAAAACAATATGAGTTAAACAAAGAGAAGTCAATAAGAGAATGTGGCAGAAATTCTGGAGTTGAAGAATACAATGAAAGAAACAGAAAATACAGTAGAAACTTCAGTATCAGACACAATCAATCAGGAGAAGAAACTGCGAACTTGAAGATAGGTCATTTGAAAATTTCCAGTCAGAGGAGAAACAGGAAAAAAATGAAATAGAGGAAAGTAAGCCTACAGGATTTACAGAATATCAAGATGTATTGTTTCCCTTGCACTGATATATGCATTATGGGAGTTCCATGGGGAGAAAGAAGAGAGAAAGGGGAAAAATTGGCTTATTTAAAGAAATAATTACTGAAAAATTTCCAAATCTAGGGAGGGAAATTGACATCCAGGTTAATGAAGCTCAATAATTCTCAAATATGATCAATCCAAAGAAGACTACACTGAGATACATTATAATCAAATTGTCAGAGATCAAGGACAGAGAGATAATTTGAAAGTATCAAGGAAAAAATCAATTTGTTACATATGAAGAAACTACCATAAGACTATAAGTAGATTTCTTAGCAGAAATTTTGCAGTCCAGAAGAGAATGGGATGATATATTTAAAGTACTAAAAGAAAGAAACTTCACACCAAAAATACAATAACTGGAAAAAATATATTTTGAAAATATAAAAGAAGAAATAAAGTTTTTCCCAGATAAACAAAATCTGAAGGAGTTCATCACCATTAGAATTCCCTTACAAGACATGCTTAAGGGGGTTCTTAAAATAAAATGAAAACACAATAAAAACAGCAGTGTTAAATCATAGGAATACATAAATATCACTAGTAAAGGTAAATGTATAGATAAATACAGATTAATGTAACACTGTAATGGTGCATAAATAATTTTTAACTCTAATATAAAAATTAAAAGATAAAGATTTGTTAAATGAATACACAATATAAAAGGAAGCAGTTTCTGACTACAAAAACAAAAAGGGTGTGTGGGAAAGTAGAAGTGGAGAGTTTTTGTATGCAATAGAAGTTAAATTGTTCAACAATTCATTAGTTGAACACTACATCAAAAACTAATGATGTACTATATGCTGGCTAACTGAACATAAACAAAAAGAAGTTAAATTGTAATCTAGTTAAAATAAAAATTTTATTGAAGTGCAAGGCAATTGAGTAGTTGCTAAACACTAGAGAGCTCTGTAAGTAATGTGAGAGACCAATCAACCCAGGTAGTGAGAGAGCAACTCAGGAAGGAAGGGACCAACTGAGTCTGGGTCCAGCATTGAGCATCTATGATTTGTTTTTAACTCACTTTTTCTTATGGGTTGAATTGTGTCTCTTAAAAAGATATATTGAAATCCTAAACCCCAACACCTCAGAATGTGAACTTGTTTAGAAACAGCATCATTGCAGGGGCCCTCTGCATTGCTCAGTCAGTTAAGGACCTGCCTTCAGCTCAGGTCATGATCAGAGGGTCCTGCATCAGGGTCCCTGCTCATCAGGGAGTCTGCTTCTCTCTCTAAAAAAAATTAAATAAATGAAATAAAAATAAAATAAAAATTTTAAGTATGTATTGTATACAAGTCCATGTTAAGCAGAAAGTAGAAAGCTATAATAGATATAAAAAAGATAAAGAGAAAAGAATCAAAGCAAATCACTATCAAAACAACTCAGCAAATAACAAAGGAAGGCATCAATAGCAAAGAATGACAGGGGCTCCTAGGTGGCTCAGTCGTTAAGCGTCTGCCTTCAGCTCAGGTCACGATCTCAGGGTCCTGGGATTGAGCCCCACATCCGGCTCCATGCTCTGCAGGAAGCCTGCTTTTCCCTCTCCCTCTGCCCCTGTTTGTGTTCCCTCTCTCGCTGTGTCTCTCTCTGTCAAATAAATAAATAAAATCTTAAAAAAAAAATAGCAAAGAATGACAAAGCAAGTTTAAACGAAAAAAGTATTAACAAAATGGCAAGAATAACTCATTAGTTATTAATTACTTAAATGTAAATGGATTAAACTAACCAATTAAAATGCACCAAGTGGCTTAAAGGATTAAAAAAAAATCCCGTCACGTGGGATTTTATTCTAGGGATGCAAGGGTGGTTCAATATAAACAAATCAACCAATGTGA